ATCAACTTAACAAACAATAATGTCACCAGTCTAGTCTTTGATGACGTTGCAGTTGCTGTTCTTCAAGAAGAAAATCGGTGCAAGAACAAGGAAGACATACAAGTAAATCTGCAACAAGCAGAAGCATTGACAACGATGAGAGGGAGATCAACAGAACGTGGCCAAAGCAGCAGTCACAAACATGGTAGATCGAAATCGAGAAGCAAGAAAAATTTAAAGTGCTACAACTGTGGAAAAAATGGTCACTTGAAGAATGATTGTTGGAGTCTAAATAAAAACTCCAATCCACAAGGCAATACCGCAAACACTTCAGATGATGGAGATGCTCTATGCTGTGAAGCGTTAACCACTGTGGAAGGTAGAAAGAGATATACATATATATGACTCATTGATTCGGGAGCAACATATCATATGACCTCAAGAAGAGAATGATTCCATCATTATGAACCTGTCATAGGAGGATCTGTGTATAGTTGTAATGATCATGCCTTAGAGATCATTGGCGTTGGAACCATCAAATTAAAGATGTACGATGGAACAATTAAAGTTGTTCGAGATGTGCGGCACGTGAAAGGCCTGAAGAAAAATTTATTATCCTACGGATTTTTGGATAATAATGCAAGCAAGATTGAAACACAGAAAGGAATCATGAGGTGTTCCGTGGAGCGCTTGTGGTGCTGAAAGGTGAAAAGATAGCTACAAACTTGTACATACTGAAGGGAGAGACTTGCTAAAAGCAAAAGCCTCTGTTGCCTTATGTAGTTCAGATTCTGCAATGCTATGGCATCAGAAACTTGGACACATGTCAAAACAAGGAATGAAAGCCCTTGTGGAGAAAAATCTACTTCCAGGCTTAACAAAGGTATCACTTACCTTGTGTGAGCATTGTATAACAAGTAAGCAGCATCGGTTGAAATTCAACACGTCAAATTCTAGAGGCAAATGTGTTCTAGAATTGGTTCATTCTGACGTATGGCAAACACTAGTTACATCCCTAGGCAGAGCAAAGTACTTTGTCTCATTTATTGATGACTACTCCAGGAGATGTTGGGTGTACCCTATTAAGAAGAACTCAGATGTGTTTTCAACTTTCAGAAACTTCAAAGCACAGATGGAACTTGATTCTGGAAATAAGATCAAGTGTTTCAGAACAGATAATGGAGGAGAATACACAAGCGAAAAATTTGATGACTTTTACATGAAAGAAGACATCAAAAGACAGTTCACAGTGGCGAACACTCCTCAACAAAATAGAGTGGCAGAGCGGATGAACATAACCTTGTTAGAAAGAACAAGAGCAATGTTGAGGGATGCAGGCCTAGAAAAATCATTCTGGGCAGAAGCAGTCAATGCCGCTTGTTATTTGGTGAATCGGGCTCCATCAACTGCAATAGAGCTGAAGACACCAATGAAGATGTGGACTGGTATACCAGCTAATTATTCAAACCTTCATGTATATTGGCAGTATTGTGTACGTGATGTATAACTCCCAAGAAATTTCAAAGCTAGATCCAAAATCCAGGAAATGCAAATTCTTGGGGTATGCTGATGGAATAAAGGGGTATTGCTTGTAGGATCCCACTGCCCGCAAAGTGATCATTAGCAGAGATGTTATCTTTTTAGAAGATAAGATACAAAGAAAAGAAGACGATGATAGCGTTGAAAAGTCAAAGACTACACAGATATATGTGGAAAAGGAGGTTGAACAAGGAGATTCTTTTGAAGCAGAACTATCACATAATGAACAAGAACCAGAGAGTTCTGAAGCTCCAACAACTCGTCAATCAGATCATGTGAGAAGACGTCCCAATTGGCACTCAGATTATGTTATAGAAGGTAATATTGCATATTGTCTTTTAACAGAGGACGGTGAGCCATCAACATACCAGGAGGCAATAAACAGCTCAGATGCTTCACTGTGGATGATGGCGATTCAAGAAGTAATTGAAGCCCTTCATAAAATTAATACATGGGACCTTGTGCCACTACCACGAGGAAGGAAGTCGATTGGTAACAAATGGGTCTTCAAAATCAAGCGAAATGGTGATGATCAAGTGGAGAGAAATCGTGCAAGACTGGTGGTCAAAGGATATGCTCAAAAAGAAGGTATTGATTTCAATGAAATATTTTCTCTTGTGGTTCGACTAACAAATGTTCCAGTAGTCTTGGTAATGTGTGCTACATTGAATTTACATCTAGAGCAACTAGATGTTAAAACAACTTTTCTTCATGGAAATCTTGAACAAGAGATTTATATGCTCCAGCCTGAAGGTTTTGAAGAAGAAGAAAAGAAGAATTTGGTTTGCAGGTTAAACAAATCTCTGTATGGTTTAAAGCAGGCGTCGAGGTGTTAGTATAAGAGATTTGATTCTTTCATTATGTGCCTTGGATACAACAGACTTAATGCAGACCATTGTGCTTATTTCAAGAGGCCTGGTGATAATGATTTTGTTATATTGCTGTTGTATATGGATGACATGTTGGTTGTAGGACCCAACAAAGATCATATTGAAGAATTGAAGGCACAACTGGCTAGGGAATTTGAAATGGAGGACTTGGGATCAACAAATAATATTTTAGGGATGCAAATTCACCGTGACAGAAGTAATAGGAAGATTTGACTTTCACAAAAGAATTATTTGAAGAAGATCTTGTCAGGATTCAGCATGCAAGATTGTAAGCCAAATTATACCCCTCTTCCTATTAACTTCAAATTATCTTCCAGTATGAGTCCTAGCAGTGAAGAAGAAAGGATGGAGATGTCTCGAGTATCGTATGCATCAGCAGTGGGAAGTTTAATGTTCACTATGATATGCACAAGACCAGACATTGCACAAGCAGTGGGAGTGGTTAGTCTGTACATGGCGAATCCAGGCAAAGAGCATTGGAATACAGTAAAGAGGATCCTGAGATACATCAAAGGGACCTCAAATGTTGCATTATGTTACGGAGGATCAAACTTACTTATCAATGGGTATGTCGATTCTGACTATGTAAGGGATTTGGATAAAAGCAAATCTACTGCAGGATATGTGTTCAAAGTTGCTGGTGAAGCTGTAAGCTGGGTTTCAAAATTGCAGTCAGTTGTGGCTACATCCACAACAGAGGCAGAATATGTAGCAGCTACACAAGCCAGTAAAGAAGCAATCTGGTTGAAGACGCTATTGGAGGAGCTTGGGCACAATCAAGAGTATGTCTCTCTGTTTTGTGATAGTCAAAGCGCCTTGCATCTAGCAAGGAATCCAGCATTTCATTCAAGGACAAAGCACATACGAGTTCAGTACCATTTCATTCGTGAAAAGGTAGAAGAAGGGACGGTAGATATGCAGAAGATTCATACCAAAGACAACATGTCATATTTCATGACGAAGGCGATCAATGCTGATAAATTTACTTGGTTTCGATCCTCTTTTGGCCTGTTAGAGACGTAAGCAACATGATGGTACAAGGTAGAAAGAATGATGTGAATATATGATTATTTCAATCAAATCTTCAAGTGGGATTTTGTTGAAAATTAAACAAGTGGCCAACCACTTTTCGGTGGGATTTTGGCAACACTTAATTTCGGTGCAAATGACAGACAATTTTGTTGAATTTTTTGTAATGGGTAAATTGAAAATTTAGTCATTGCAATTTAGGGTATTTACAAATTAGTCCTTAAGCTTTAACTATAAATACTTTAGTTCATTTAGCTTCAAAACCATCCTAAATCATTCTAGCTTTCTCTCAATACTATAGAATTTAGAGAGATGTTGTAATTCATATTTTTTCATAGTAAAATTTTTCTACCGTTGTCCGTGGTTTTTATCCTATATTATTTAGAGGTTTTTCACGTAAATTTTGTGTCTCTTTTCTCTTCATTTTTATTTTCTAAAATTATCAGTTACGATTTTGCTCTATCCGATATCCGTATTCTGCAACAGAATACATAGTCATAGGCATATCATATACATGTAAATGGTCTCTCCAGGCCATTTTTTCCGGCTTTAATTCAAGCTGGATGTAGGGAAAAAACTGACAGTGATGCAGGCAGCATTAAATCAGTAAAGGCTGAGCCGAGGGATATAACCATTATCCAGCATGTTTTCAGGGTTGTAAACCTGCAAATTGTAATACTATATAACTAAGAACGACAATGGGATATAAAATATGAACCTTTTTATTTGTAAATTCCCTTTTTCAGAAGGATAGGCCATGGATGAGCCCTTCTTTTGATGAGGAAATAAAAACGACTGATCGACGAATCCTAACATTTCGCAGTGATCCACATGATTGCTATTGATTAGGTGCATGGCAATGTCGATGAGTGATGACCCTGCATCGATTGGCTTTCTTTCTTTGTTATTGTACCATCTTCATCGCCATTATTGCTGTCGTTTAGGGTTGCTTCCTTTTCTAGTACTATCACTGAAAGCTGAATTTACCGCTAAAATGAATAGTTTTCTGTTACAGACAATTAACCTGTACATTATTGCAATGGTAGAAATCATTTCTGTTGTTCTCTCGAGTCTTAATCGGTCAATGATTCAACAATTATCAGCATGTTTACAATTTTATCTCTTATCAATCATCCATCAATTTCCGCTGGTGACATAGATTAGGGTTTAATTTTTTAAAATAAGTTTTGAGATAATTTTGTAATTTTCGAAAAGAAATTCTCACATGTTTAAAATTTGATTAACTCTCTACAATTTTTTAAATAAAATATTTCAAATAAAAATCGTTAAATATTCAACGTTTTATTGACATGTTTATACCAATAGATTAAATTAAATAAGATCTTTCGTATACATGGAAAATGGTCAAAGCAAGTGTTGGCTAAACAAACTCAGTAAGTCACTGTGTTTTCCGACGGCGAATAAACTGTAGCACTCCAAGTTCATTTATTCATTTTTCTGTAGAAGCTGACAAAATATTTAAAAAATAAGTTTGGCTCTTCTTTTTTAAATGAAGGAGAAATCACGTATTCATTGTTCCCTCTATATATACGCCCAATTTTATCAGGTAACACAGAGTTCACAGAACATAATCCACGAACATGAAAATGGCGAATCGTTTCAAGCTTAAGATATCCCCAGTCTTCACCTCGTTCCAATCTTGCCGTTCAAAAGACCCTTCTAATCTCCCATTAAATCCTGTCCCTTCATCCTGCAGACTTTCTTCGGTCAGACGAAACCCTATCACCCGCTATTTACCGCCCCCACCGCCACCGCAACCAAAATCGTCAAAGTTGTCTCATTACTGTTCACTAAAAAGACACGTTTCCTCGGTGTTTTGGTTGATTAGCTGCGGGCTCGGGTCAAGATCGTCTGCAAAGTACTTGTCTGAAATTGACCATATTCAATCATCACCGCCGTCGACATTGGAGTTCTACCGGGAAAAAGAAGACATATGTCACGTTATAGCCAACGTTTTCGAGAATAACATAACCCCCCGTCGCAGATTCTACAATACCCCTGAAAACGACGACGATTTATTTCCACCTCCAGCGCCTCCCAACACGATAAAAAAAAAACGACGATACAAAAAAAGGAAAATGACGTCGAAAAACCGGATAAGCACCTCGTCGGCCGAGAGCGGATTGTTTACCAGCGAAAGCTTTGAAGACTATGATATTAGTGACAAGGAAACTGAAATTCTGATCTCATCTTCGAGGAGCTTCTCCACTGATTCCCCCTCAGAGATGTTCAACGCCAACTTAGAAATCATACTAGAAACAAAGCCTACGAGGCAAAGCAGGAAGAAGCCCAAGAAAGTTAAGAAGACAAAAAGGTCCGAAGTAAGATTTTCGTCGTCGGAGAGCGAGTCGCCGGCGAGGTTGTCGAGCTTTTGGCAACGGATGATACCGTGCACGGTGGACGGCAAAGTGAGGGAGAGTTTTGTCGTGGTGAAGAAATCAGAGGATCCTTACGAGGATTTTAAGAGGTCGATGATGGATATGATATTAGAGAAGCAAATGTTTGAAGAGAAAGATTTGGAACAGCTCTTGCATTGTTTCTTGTCTTTGAATTCTAGGTATCATCATGGGGTCATTGTTCAGGCTTTTTCTGAGATTTGGGAGGCTTTGTTTTCTAGAAGATCAACTAGTTTTCGAGTTTCTCGTGATTTTAATTAATGTAAACGTAAATGTTTATCAGATTTAATAAATATTATTAGCTTTAACTATTTTTTTACTAATATTCTTGTAAAAATGCATGAACATGTTCAAGGATTTCTCAGTTTTTTATGAACTTCAATTTTTAGTATATCATATGCAAATAAACTAATATCATTGCCATTAGCTGTTTCTGATAATCTATAGTAAAATTCTATATTTTTGTTGAAGGATATTCCATAATCTACTCTCTACTAAATTTAATACGCATATACAATTAACTTTAGAAGTCTTGTTTAAAATATTATATTATGAATCCAATTTCTAAAAATCTCTTTTTTTAATTTTCGTATAAAAAACGCATACGTAAATTTGATTTGTGTAAGCGATATGTGGAGCATGAGATCCATAGTTTGCATGCAGTCCTGATATATTGAAGCTCTACGTTATATCGTGTTGGAGATTATGGCACTTACAATTTGGAGGTGATGAAATTTTGTCCTTTGTTCCAATGTGGTGCATGAATTACGTGGAGCAAGCGGCAGCATCTTAGCATTTACAACGACTAAGCTTTATGGAGCACGTACAATTCCTGGGTTCGGTGACTTAAGCCTGCTCATGGTTATGTAAAATTAAATGTGGATGCAAGATGGACATGGGACACTTGTAGTTGTTGGAGCTATAAATTAATGACAGATGAATATGGTTCTTTTATTTCAATAACTTTAAATTTTTATATAATCTAAATGTACTTAAATGTTTTCAATGCCCTGATCCATCCCTAAATGCAATTGAACCAATTTTGGGTATCAAGTGGTTAGTTGAGCGGAAGGTAGAAAGACTAGAAGCGGAAAATGATTCTTTAGTTATGAATAGTATTAGGTATATTGCATACAATGATCAATTAGTATAGTTATGGACATTTACTTGTATATTTATTTTGATTTTATTGTGCTTAAATATATTATGAAATTAGGAAATTAAGTTGCTCATCATTTAACTACTTTTGCTATTTTAAGGATGGGACTTGAAAATATAGATACTTAATGAAACCAAATTATCATTTAAATACACTTTTTCACCCTTTACTTTTAAATAAAAGGGGTCTATTGATCATAGCTACCTCGCACACCTAATATAACTTAATGCGAATTAATTGATGACTTATCCTTATATTTTGTTCACAAAATGAATCCACACTCAATTCCATCAATATTATTGTCATATGGGATTTAATTTTTGCATTGAAGAAATAAAGGGATTAAATTTTTAAATTGAAAACATAAGATGGGAAGAAATCTTGGCAACACAGTTTGGCTCATGGCTCAGAATTCTTAGCCAGTCGGTGTCCCCCATAATCAGAAAAAGATTTGGCTGTTGACACGTATGAAGCGTGTGGTGATTAGCCAGAACCTGTCGGCGCATCAGACCAGACACTTGTCGGGCGTGTAAGATGGTCAGTGAGATGCTCGGAGACTCGTCTGAAGCCTATAAGATGATATTGCTGTGGATTTTGCAATTTAAACAAAGTGGTTTCATAGGGTCAGTTCTGTGTTTCTTAAAGGCCACGCCAATTGCCAAACAGCCAAGAGCTAAATCTTTTAACTGCCAGTGAAGGATACGTTCAAACAAGGAAGAGTGGAAGACTGAAGACAATACACGGTATCGGAGATTCTTTACCAACTTAAAGAAACTTAATAAAAAGATAAGCACTTATTCCCATGAAATTAATAAATAAAAAAATGGTTACTTTTTCTCTCTATGGCAGCCAGCTTTAGATTTATTTTATCTTTGGAAGATATGATATCCCAAGTATTTCCGGTTTCCAGTTTTAGCATTGCTATTGCTGCTGTGCTGGCTGTTGCGTTGCCGATGTCGGATCTTTTAGTCATTGTCATTAAAGGTTTTTATTTTTTATTTCATTTGGTTTTGAAAAAAATATAATATTATGACACAAAGTAAGAGATAAGTTAGTAATATATATATATATATATATATATATATAACCGACGTGGAAGTTTTCAGCCCAAAAGTCTAAGATTATAGCTTATATTGACCTCGACTGTGTACAACTTTAAATCTCATATATAAAATTTAAATTCTCTAAATAAATAGAGATAATTATAAGATTATATTTATTCATAATTTTGTTAATCTATTAACAACATTTTATAATGGTAACTGTTTGAAAGTGAATCTTAAAAAAACTACTCAATAAATCTGTAGATCATAGACTTTAAACCAGCAGATCAGGGTTTATTCATGCATGCACTGCAAACAAGAGATTGGATATTTGTTTAGGGCCTAAGTGGAGTTGTTGGATTCATAGCCCAACGGTTGGACACAGTTTGTTGGGCTCAGCATACAAAAGGTTATCATGTCAACACATGGTTCTAGTCTATTAACCTAGCAGTAAGTGCATTTTCTGCGTCAAGAATCTATTTTCTCCTCGTACAAAAGGTTATCATTTCAACTTCTTACTTATGCAGTCAAGAATCTATTTTCTCCTCGTATGTTATTTGTGCATCATATTTCCCAATGATTTATGGTTCCGTCGGAAAGCTTTCTATTTATTTAAATTTCTTAATGGATTAAATTTGAATGTTATGATTAAAATTACGCAAAAACTAAATCTGATTTTTTTTTTCAATTTGTTAGTTGGTAGGGTTGTTACAAGATTAATGTTGCCTGCTTTTGTATATTTGATTTCAAACCATCTGGCTTGTTCAAGTCATAATTTTATATTTGCATATTTTGAAAAGATATTTATTTAAAAGATAATATTTTAGAACTTTTCAAATATTTTCTATTTAGTGTTTGTAATGTTGACTGAGAACTAAGATTATCGTAGAATTGACACTAAGAAAAGAAAACAGAGTTAATTATTGAATGAAATTCTTTACAATCCTTAGGTTAGCCATTGGCACATGCACTAGATAGAGTGGTAGTGGCCCATGCGACATTATCTCCTCAGCCGAAGCACTGGTCACTGGGAAGGGGTCCTGGAATGGATCCGTTCTGCAAGAACTGCAACCCGAAGACAACCAAAATGGCCAGCAAAGACAGGAAAGATAAACCTTCAACGGCTCCCAATAACCCGAACGGCCCATTTGGTAGCCCCGAACCGGTCTTGGCTTTCGTGTACAAAGACCACCCCACAATCCCAACAACAACCAGGTAACTAACACCTTCCAGTGCACCTATCGAGCCACCCGGTCCGGGGGGCAAACCACACCCGGTTGTCTTGAGCGTGTACAGGGACCAGGCAATGACTGGATTGGCAACCAGGCCACCGGCTATTGCTGCTTTCTCTGCAACTCCGTTGCCGCTTTCACTGGTATCCTTTGCCATGGCTAGCACTTTCAGACGAGGCTGCACCTTTGGTCTTGTATATGCGAGAATGAAACTATGGGGTTTTAGTGAAGGTAGGGAGGTTGACGGTGGTGATAGTAGCAACATCTTGGCTGCATCCATGGCCAGAAGAGAGAGGAGGTTGTGTTGATAAGGCGGTGCTGGTAAGTAAGCTTGCTAGTATTTTAGACCCTTATCTATTCTATCAAAACAGGACCAGGTGGCGGATGCGGAAGGCTCCTTGACCATTCATCCACTAAAGAAATACGCAATTCACTGTTTATGACTTATCCTCCTAATTTTAATTTTATATATTCCAAATAATATGAGGTAGAAATCAAGACTCAATGGTCGCGTTACATTTCAGATTTCTATTTATTTAACTCAAGTTAACTGGAAACGCCAAGTTTAAGGCTGTTCTTCACTTAAAATATATCATTTTTTCTTTTTTTCTTTTTCTTTTACAAAGATTTAATATAGAAGTAATTATTTAAGTTACAAAAGTTTAAATATATATGTCGGAACCGTCCTTCGGGTGGACCTCAAATTAAACTTCGACTTGAATGAAACGAATTGGAGTCGTCACCGATCATTTATTTCAAAATAAACGGGTTGATTGGATACCTTATTTCATAACTGATATGCGTCTTACCAAAGATGTGTCGGATTCGGGAGTCGGTTACAGTCAAGGAAGGGTTAGCATCATTGAACTGTCATTTCGGTACTACGTAATTTACAGTTGTCTTAAAATAAGAAATTTGTAATTTAAATTAAAAAGGTAAAATAACGGTCTCAATTATTTACCTCCGATCGATTTTAAAAGTGTACCCTTAAAAAAACACGAAACGTATTAGAGGAAAACGTAATGTAAATAAACAAAATAAAGGACATAAAATAAAATAAAAAACAAGTGCAAAAAAAAAGTTAAAGGGAAAAAATGAAAGTAAAAAAAAACAAATAAAGGAAAATAAAAGAATATATATATATAAGGAAATGAATAAAGGAAAAATTAAATAAATAAATAAATAAATAAGATAAAGGTGAAAAAAGATAATAAACGGAAAAAAATAACGAGGATAAAAAACAAATTCAAGATAAAGAGAATAATAACTAAATAAAAATATAAATAAAATAAAACAAAAGACATAAAAAATGAAAATAAAAGCATGTATACATAATAAAAAAATTACCCTCATCACTTCATCGAAAGTGGGGGCAATCTTGGTTAGAGACAAAGAGGGCCCTAAGAGATATAATTCAAAGTTAGTAATATATATATATATATATATATATATATAGTATAATATTTAATAAAATAATTAAAAAGCAATATATATATATATATATATATATATATATATATATATACACACAAACATTAGGAAAACGAAATAAAATAAATAAATAGAATATATATAATAAGATATAAAAATAAAAATAATAAAATAAAAATAAAAATAAAAGGATTAAAATAAAATAGAAATAATATATATATATATATATAATAACGTTTAAACAAAATATTAAAACAAAATAATAATAGGAAATAGAATAAAAATAAAATGAACAAATAATAATAATAATAATAAAAAAATAATAATAATAATAATAAAAAGAGTAATAAAAGGATTAAATTAATAAGAAAACAAAATTGGGGGTAAATTTAAAAGGAAATCGGATTTAGAATCGAATTTGGGGTCAAATTGAAAGGCTTAAAACGCAGAGGGATTGAAATTAGTATTATCCCCTTTCCCTTTAAAAACACGCGGGTCGTGTAATGGCCGGGTCGGGCTATTGGGACGGTCGGATGAGTACTATATAAGTTAAAAACCAGAAACACATATCATAATTCTCTCATCCCCTCTACAAGATCAAAACACAAAAGCCCAAATTCTCTTAAAATTTCAATGTGTTTTTCGTTTTCACGAAGAACACGACCATTCAACTCTAGAATCCGGCGGTCCGTCGCCTCGCCGGCCGCCGATCATTGGCGGTGAAACCCAAAGTTTTTTTCCCATCTGAAAGACCTCGACTCTTTCATTTTAAAAATATATTTTGTTTTTGCAAAATGGCCTCAGGGGGAGTAGATCTAAAGGCCAAGTTTCGAAAACCCCTTTTGGTCATCGATCGAACAAGTTCTCTTTAAATCGAAAGCAACAAGAAGAGGGAAGCAACATGCAAACCAAGGACGAACAATAAAGGCAAAAAATGCTACCTTTTTTTTATTTCCTTTCGTAATGTTTTACAAAAGTTCGGATCTTTGACAATCTTGCTTGCGTATTTCTCAGTATTTTCGTGTCTATCGTGTATACTCCCTGTTAAATTGTGATCCATTACATGTGATTTATAGTGCTTTACAAAGCCTATTTTTAGGTGTTTAAATCCTAGTAGAATACTAATGTTGGTGTGTTGGTGCGCCGAACTGTTCGGAAGGTTGACCGAGGGATTCGGTCGTGGGACTCTTGGAAGGCTTGTGGCACTCGTGGAGAAAAGAAAGCTAGGGTTTCATACCCTAGCTGGATCGGTTCGGGTTGAACACAAACGGACCGGGTCACGCGGGTTGCCGCTCCAGCAGGTCTTGGATGCTCCAAGTGGTTTGGGTTTCTGTTGGGCCATTGGGTTTCGTTTTTTATTTGGGCCTGTAAAAAGAAGAGAAAGAAAGATATGTAAATAACATATAAATAACATATAAATTGTATAATATATATATATATATAGTAGGGACGAAATATAGTGTCTACAGTTGCCCCTCTTTGCTCATTATCGTATAACGAAAATATAGCAAAGATTAAAAGACACAAATTTCGTCCATATCGAATGCCCTCCATTGTAGACTTAAAATCCGATGTAATGACTGATCTGTTAATTTAAATTGAATCACAAAATATCTCCCTTATCGTGAGGTTGAGTTGAACTGGAAAATTCTGAGCACGAAATCCTTCGTCGTGAAGTTGAAATCGAACTCAGAGTATTAGAAAGTAGCTCCTGGATCGTCTTCTAGCCCGAGATACTTTGTCGTGAAGCTGAAACTTGACTTGAAGACTTTGGTGTTGCTGTGTTACAGATGACTCATTCGTCATGAAGTTGAGTAAATCTTTAGGATACGATATCCTTCGTTGGGAAGTTGAAATTGTAGATAGCTCATTCGTTGTGAAGTTGAGCTTTGAATTAGATATCTTTCGTCGTGAAGTTGAAATCCAATCTTGTGTAAGATACGTTGTTTCGAGTCCAATATCCTTCGCCGTGAAGTTGAAATTGACTCTGAATGAAACTGGAAAGCTCCTCCTCTGTGAAGTTGAGCTTTGAATTGGATATCATTCGTCATGAAGTTGAAATCCAAGGGTTGCATTGCTGCTTTTGGGCACGATATCCTTCGTCGTGAAGTTGAAATCGTGGATGGCCCCTTCGTTGTGAAGTTGAGCATTGAATTGGATATCCTTCGTCGTGAAGTTGAAATCCAATCTTGTGTAAGTTGTATTATTTCGAGTCTAATATCCTTCACCGTGAAGTTGAAATTGGCTCTGAATGAAACTGTAAAGCTCCTCCGCTGTGAAGTTGAGCTTTGAATTGGATAACCTTCGTCTTGAAGTTGAAATCCAAGGGTTGCATTGCTGCTTGTGGGCACGATATCCTTCGTTGTGAAGTTGAAATCGTGGATGGCCCCTTCATTATGAAGTTGAGCCTTGAATTGGATATCCTTCGTCGTGAAGTTGAAATCCAAGTATTGTATGTTGCTAGTGAACACGATATCTTTCGTTGTGAAGTTAAAATCGTGGATGACCCCTTTGTTGTGAAGTTGAGCCTCGAATTGGATATCCTTCGTTGTGAAGTTGAAATCCAATCTAAAGATAAGTGCTGCTGATGGACACGATATCCTTCGTCGTGAAGTTGAAATCGTGGATGGCTCCTTCGTTGTGAAGTTGAGCCTTAAATTGGATATCATTCGTCGTGAAGTTGAAATCCAAGAATTGTGTTTTTTGAGTTAGATGTCCTTAGTTGTAAAGTTGAAATCCAGTCTCGAGTAAATGATGTCGCTTCGAGTTCAATATCCTTCATTGTGAAGTTGAAATTGACTCTGAATGAAATCGAAAAGTTATTTATTGACAGTCGCCCCTTCGCTGTGAAGTTGAACTTTGAATCTAAAAACTACAAAATTATGTATGTAAAAAATGATGAATGTGATGCTCTTAAGTATGTCTAAGATGTATGCAACATGAATGAGTTATGTTTTATCTCTTGGATGGAGTCTCGTGCTTTGTTTGCCAATTTGGTACTTGGAATCGATCTTGACCTATTTTCTTCTTGAGCTTAGGCTTTACAGACCTTTCATATTTGAGGCTGTCTTGTTTGAAAATTTTTTCCTCCTTTCTCTTATTTAGGAGGGAAAAAGGATATGAAAATAGAAGAATTATGTAAAACATTACCCCTTAATTCAGGCTCGCAATCAAATTGAATCAAATTATAAACATGAATTCAAAGAATATCAAAGGAATCAATAGCTCTTTTAATGCTTTCAGAGTTATAGCTCTTTGAAAAATATTCAAATGGATGAGTTGGCTTTAGGTTAAACTTAGGTTTCAGCTTTAAAAAAATGTCATTTTTTCGGTCATTTCAACATGCCCCTTTCTTGGCTTGGCATTTTAATTGGATGCGGACAAAATGACACAACTAGCATGATCAATTTCTAGACCTTCTATTTCGGTCCTCTGAAATCTTCTATTTGTTCAAGCTTCGTAGGCTCCTCTAACAAAGGCAGTGCAGAAATATTGGTCTAAAAATAAAATTCTTGAGTGCTCGTGTGGAATTGACTATAACAGGTGTTCCTTAACTCCCTTAGTTCATCTTTACCAAAACTCCTTATTTAATTTTCCATTATATGACTAGTTGGATCTATAAAGTCGGGGTGTTTAACCAATTACTCTAGAGGGACAACTCAATATCATTGTATAGATATTATAATCACCTTTATTAAGCTAGTTGAATATTATCCATAAATCCGGGGCGTTTAACCAATTGCTCTAGAGGGACAACTCAAGCTTTATTGTATAGATATTATAATCACCTTTATCAGGCTTAGCTGAGTCTTATCCATAAAGTCGGGGCGTTTAACCAATTGCTTTAGAGGGACAACTCAAGCTTTATTGTATATATGTAATATTATAATATGGGTATACGGATCCAATTTCTTAAGTTTGTCAAGAA